CTGCTACGAAACGTAACCTAACGCAAACAATAGCAACATATTAGATGAAATGCATTAAACCCGACAATTTTTTAAATATATTTTCTCTTTATATAAGAAGTTTTCAACATGCATCAGAATGCAGGTAATATCTATTGGGACTCCAAAATAATATTCTACAGAATATATTTTTATATATCAAGCCATTGTAAGAATACACTCTTGTAGATAAATATTTATCCTCACGTTCTCATCATTACAGAATGTGATATATGGTCGATGCTTAATGTTTTATTCAGCGTAGCTTACAAGTGGCACAATGCTGAACACTTAGTGAGGTTCGAACTCACTACTCAGTTTTAATTGATTCGAACCTGTATCCTATACGGTTCCGTATAGGATACAGGTTCGAATCCTGTCGGAGGACGAATATTTTTTTATGGATACAACTTATTTGAGCAAATGCTGTGTTTTAATTAAACAGTTGTTAATTACATTTACCAGCCTGAATTTTCGAGAAATTTCGTAGAAAATATGCGTTCTCCACCAGGAATCGAAACTGTATTTAATCCATTTCATCTTAGCGACGAAGGCTCATTCTGCGAACTTAGTACATATATGGCATTTAGTACGACCAATGACCGAACCGACGTAAATACAACGAAGAGTCGTACTACGAATTTAATACAATGATGGCAATTAATACGACGAAGGGCTGTTCTGTACAGTTAGTACAATGATGGCATTTAGTACGAAGATGAACTGTTCTGTGAAGTTAGTTCAATGCTAACAGTTAGTAAGACGAAGGGCCGTTCAGCGCGTTTAGTACAATGATAGTACTTAGTACGATGAAGAAACGTTCTGAGTAGTTAGTACATTGATGGAAGGTAATACAACGAAGGGATGTTATGTGCAGTTAGTATAATTATGGTTTTTAATACGACGAAGGAATTTTCTGTGCAGTTAGTACACTGATAGCAGTTAGTACGACGAATAACCGATTTGCGAAGTTAGTTCAATGATGACAGTTACTAAGACTTAGGACTGCTCTACGGAGTTAGTACAATGATTGCAGTTAGTACGACGAAGGGCCGTTCTGCGCAGTTTCTACAATGTTATCATTTAGTACGACGAAGGGCAATTCATCACAGTTAGTACAATGATAGCAGTTAGTACGTCGAAGGAAAATTTTGCGAATTTAGTACAATTATCGTAGTTAGTACGACGAAGGTCCGTTCATCGCTGTTAGTACGATGATGGCCGTTAGTACCACAAAGGACTATTCTGCTAAGTTAGTACAATGATGGTAGTTAGTACGACAAAAGATATTGAACGTTCTGAATGGATATGACATTGCAACTAAAAGGAAATTATCCCTGTACATAACCTGACCTGCTTTTTCTTTGGCATAAAGTTAAATAAAAGAGTGCCTATGCATGTGCATCATGCCTAAAGATTATTGATTATTCCTGAAAACGAAACTAAAAGCGAAACTTTGTGCTTTTCTGTTTATTGGGCCTGCCGAATGATTTCGTTCACGCTGCTCTGCTTTTGATAGCTATCCACCTCTATCTGCAAGTCGAATGAAGACGCCATTTTTCTCTAGCCTTTTAAATAGAGAGACAATATATGTACAAAGCATGTACACGTACACATTCCACTGTGGTCCATGCACACATATGATTTTCACATACAGTTCTACACGTGTAAATAGCAACTTACAGAGGAATTATATATTAACGTGATGCTTAATAGGTCACGTGGTTTCTGATTGATTTTATGTATTAGTTTCGTCTTTTACTTGTTTTATTTCTAGATGTTTTTGTGCTCATTTTTCTTAAAGTCACTACTCTTCCTGTCTTTCTTTTTTACATTTTTTTCTTTCTTTCTTTCTTACTCTTTTTTTCATTATCTCTTTTCTGTTCTTTCTTTCTTTCGCTTTCTTCATTTCTCTAGCTTTTCTCTCCTTTTCTTTGTTTCTGTACTCAGTCCCTATTTCTTTCTTCTGTCTCCCTTTCTTTCTTTTTTTTACTCAGTCTCTCTTTCTTCCTTTCTCTAATATTTCTTCCTTTCCTTTTTTCTTTTTCTTTTTTCTACATTCAGCCTCCTACACACCCTGCCTGCCTCCCTCTTTCTTTCTTTCTTTCTTTCTTTTTTTCTTTCTTTCTTTCTTTCTTTCTTGCTTTATTTAGGTATTTCCTACTCTTTCTTTCCTTCTTTCTCTATTCTTTCTTTCTTCCTTTTTCATACTTCATTCAGTCTCTGTTTCTTCATTTATTCAGTCTCTTTTCTTTCTTTCTTTTTTTCTTTTTGCCGTTCTTTCTTTTACATTTTTGTTCTCAATTGATGCATAATTTAGACTTTTTCTTTCTTTGTCTTTTCTACATTTGTTAAGTCCCTTTCTTCTTTTTGTGATACTCGTTGTCACTTTCGTAATGCTCGTTGTAGTAGAGACTTTGTAATCGCAGATACAACTATAGTAACGCCGTTGAACAACACTGGTGTCAGACGCCTTCGAACACACACACTAATAATACTTACCCGATAATACTTGCTGGAATAGTAACTACCGTAGAGCGATCTGAACAGAGAAATTGTATAGTGAATAAAGTAAAGAATAGCAATGTCCGAGAAATTTCCATAGAAATTATTCATCCTCCGACTGGATTCGAACTTTGTCCATTTCATAATGTGTGACGTCATTTGTTTACATTTGATACGCCATGAGCAGATATGAATGTACGTGAGAGATTCATGGATGATTGAAGTTTAAAAGCAGTAAATTCGACCTTGCTAACCGAACGATCCTCTGTGACCGAATCGGTTAAAAGGCACGTCAGGCTATATGACGGTTCCATATAGGATACAGGTTCGAATTCTGTCGGAGGACGAATATTTTCTATGAAAATTTCTCGGACATTTAGGCCGGAAAATGTTGTTTAATACTGTTTGTTATAAACAGAACATTTACTTAAATATTTGTATCTATAAAAAGAATGTATGAACATAAAATGTCTTGAAATATATATATATATATAACACTTTCAATGAAGATTATATGTCCAGCTCCTTATAATACATACGCTGAACAAACATGTGCCTTTTTTTCGCAGATGACAACGAAATGGTCTCTCTTACATAGCTTCATATATGAATACGTATGTTGGTTATGAAAAACTTTCGTTTTTATGTTCCTTGTCCCTTCAGGACGTAAGCGATCATGGCCCTCCACTTTCTCCTATCCCTTGCAGTTTCCAGTAAGTTTTGTCTTTTTGCTACTTCGCCCAGTCCCTGTTCTTCTTAAGCTCGCTAAGTAAGTCACGCGTTGATTCCCTTTGTGCCTCTTTCCCTCTATCCGCCCTGTGAGTATCAGATTTTCCAAGTCTTCCTTTCTCATTACGTGTCCCATAAATTTCAGCTGCCTCACCCTGATGTTAAGTAAAATACCAAATCAATATTTGCATATCCGTACGAGAGCCTCGTTTACATAGTGATATTAAAACGAAAAGCTCTATGCATTTTATATATATATAGCTATATATATATATATATATATATATATATATATATATATATATATATATATATCAACGCTTAGACATGAGAATAAAACAACACGTTCCTACAAAAATTAGAAATCACACATTGCCGTTGAATGGACTCGTCCCGAACACCTATAGTTCCGCCATATGCGAACACCTATTAAAGAACAGAGATTGTGCAGCCAAATTTAGTGTTGACTGGTTCACCGTGTTGTCCCGGTCTCACTCCTTATTTCATCTAAAGGTTCTGGAGGCACTTTACATCGGGTTCCACAAGCCTTCTTTGTGCAAACAACGTGAGTGTTTGTTGGGACTCGCTGTCATTTGTCTTTAGTTGCTTTTGCATATTTTTATTTTTTTTTACAATTCCTTTTATTGTACATTTTTCTGTGTTAAATCTCCCGTCGATGCCTGAAGAGCGGGAGCGAAACCGGTTGCTTCACCCGTTTTTTTAAATATGTCTCGTAATATTAAGTTTTATACTTTTATTTCGATCATTAAATTTTTACCTATAAAATATCTTTATATATATATAAATATATATTTATATATATATATATATATATATATATATATATATATATATATATGTAGCCGTGTATACTTAAATGCCAACAAGTGAATATAATATATGTGTGAAAAAGACTTAGATAGATGAACAGAGAAAGTAAGTTCTAGTGTACATAGATAATTCGTTTTTTTGTTTGCGTTCATGTTACGATTTTTCTGATAGTTCATCTCTACCCTCCCTACAAACTCGAATCCAGGCATGACAGCTTCAAACAAAGTAAATAATATTTTCACTTAAGAAACCTAATCGCCATCATAATGTTACATTTTTCCTTCTGTGTTTTAGAGACTCGTCACGCTTTTGCAAAACACGGGCGCGCCTGTTCCACACAAGCTTGGCCAGTTTCTCTCCGAAAAGTGACTGATAATTCCCTGGGGACTAATTCTTCGAAACTAACATCTTGAAGTATTTTGACGACTGGCGAAATCCATCTCTGTCCAATGATGCACGTTGTTTTCATGTGAGTCTGTTTGGTTTTAAGATGTAGTCATATGTCATTTTATTAAATAGATGATTTCTTCTTTTTTTTTAATCTTCTACTGGACCCATTTTCAAAGGTTTTGTTTCGTATAACGACGGTGTAATCGTGTTAGCGGTTTGGAAATGTGGCTTTTCCCTGGAGATACACATGGAACTGAACTGACAAAGAGAGGCCTGATGTTATATGTAGATCTATGGATAGTTTAAAGACATAACATAGATAGATAGATAGATAGATAGATAGATAATCAATAGATAGAGAGAGAGAGAGAGAGAGAAAGAGAGAGAATTAAAAGACGGGAATAGATAGATAGATAGATAGAGATTCAACAGACATAGATAGATAGATAGATAGATAGATAGATAGATAGATATTCAACAGACATAGATAGATAGATAGATAGATAGATAGATAGATAGATAGATAATCAACAGATATGAATAGATAGAGAGAGAGAAAGTGAGAGAGAAAGAGATAGAGATAGAGAATCAACATACGGGAATAGATAGATAGATAGATAGATAGATAGATAGATAATCAACAGACATGAATAGATAGATAGATAGAGAGAGAGAGAGAGAATCAACAGACGGGAATAGATAGATAGATAGATAGATAGATAGATAGATAGATAGATAGATAGATAGATAATCAACAGAGAGGAATAGATAGATATATAGCAAGATAGATAGAGGGAGTGAATCAACAGACGGGGATAGATAGATAGATAGATAGATAGATAGATAGATAGATATTCAACAGACATAGATAGATAGATAGATAGATAGATATTCAACAGACATAGATAGATAGATTGAATGAACAGACGGGGATAGATAGATAGATAGATAGATAGATAGATAGATAGATAGATATTCAACATAGATAGATAGATAGATAGATAGATAGATAGATAGATAGATAGATAGATAGATAGATAGATTGAATCAACAGACGGGAATAGATAGATAGATAGATAGTGTGGAATGATCACTGGGAAATATATTGCTGCTATTTTTTAATATCTTGCTTCATATAAAATACTTTAGGATCCAAGGCCATGTCCAAAACTTAAACATTAATAGCATATACCTTTGCTATTGACATATATATCTATATATATATCTGTCGATATTCACGTTATGTTGTCAAGTACTCTATTTTGTTATGAGTGTAATACACCATCAGCTCCCATTGCCCAAGAGCATCAATTCGTGGATTTGAACGCTGAATTTTATGAAAAGCATTATCCAGGCATTGACCGTAAATAAACTTTTAAAATCACGTCATTCAATATAGCGTTATCTTAAGTAAATAACATAAAGCTCAAATTTTAGAAGTCAGATTATCCCGATTTCGAAATGGGATCAATTAAAGTTGATTCTTACAGCTGCTCATTTTATCATTTTCAAACCAATAAATGACATTTTAATGTGTGAAGTAAATCTATTCAACTTTCTGACCACACAATTGAATTGCAGTGAAGATGCATCTGAAGTCATTTAACCACTATTATTATCTTCCTTTTTATGAAAAAAAAAAAAACTACGATCGGTATTTACCCGAAACCTCCCCACAAGGGGGAATGTGACACAAGGCCGATTTTTTCTTACCTGGGGCGTTCGGAGCTCGTAGGCTCAGGCAAAAAAATCCCCGTAGATCCCATATACACGGGGTTGAGTAGCTGTCTACCTCCCCAGACGAGACTCTACCCTTTGACATATCCTCGTCTGGGTTCCTCTCCGCCCGAAGGCAGAGAGTCGACAAGCAGAATTAACTGTAATCGTTAACTGCTCTCAAAATTACGTTCTTGCCGTGGATTTTATAATAAAACAATTTAATAATCGTCTTTTGGAATCAAAATAAATGATTATAAAAAATGAATGCAAAAAAAATATTTTATCTTCACCTGAAAAGTTTGGAATTATGCTGCAAATATTCATAATACGAAATGCCACTTTTGAATTATACAAAAAGAAAAACAAAATATAGTTTATTTTTTCTCGGTATTTGAAGTAAATTCACTGTTAACACTTTGTTAAAATATTAATCGAAATTTGCATAAAATAAAACCATTATCGCCACTTGATTCCTGAATTTTCTTCGACCGTTAGAAAAAGAAATACTGTTAATGCCCATTTTTTCTAAAATCCTGACATAATTTTTTTTTTTTTTCATTCTTCATCTAAAAATGAAATGTTACGAACACTGCAATCAAAACACTTGGCCAGCTAATAAAGCAAATAGATGATCATTTCGAATTGGTTGACGCTAATATCTTTATTAAATCAATTTATTTAGCCCCTTCTGTGTATTATGTTATGTCTACAACATACACCATAATCCCTACAATAAAATACTTGTAAAATTGGTGATAAAACTGTTCTATACTGCTTAAGAAACAGTCGTCTCCGTACATAAAATGAAACAGTCAGGAGGAAAATGGCACATTTCTCAACTTTTCTAAAATGCTTGATTCAGACGTCTTGTAAAGTAATATTCGCTCATCCGTTTTTTTTATTGCTGAACCAGGACAAAAAGTAGAAAAGCTAGAACTGAAAAATAACCATCATTGATTAATATCTTGCTTTTTACGAAAGAATCCTCACATATATTTATGAATATTTTATGGATTCCAAAATTTATCTTTTTTTCCTCATTTCGATAATTTTGGTAGTGTTCTTTCTACTTCTTCCTGTAGATTCTTCTTCTTCTTCTTTTTCTTCTTCTTCTTCTTCTCCTCCTCCTCCTCTCCTCCTCCTCCACCTTCTTCTTCTTCTTCTTCTTCTTCTTCTTTTATTCTTCTGCTTTCCTTCTTCTTTTCTTCTTTTCTACTTTCCTTTTTTCTTCTTCTTTTCTTTTTCTCTTCTTTTCTTCTTCTTCTTCTTCTTCTTCTTCTTCGTCTTCTTCTTCTTCTCCTCCTCCGCTTCCTTCTTCTTCTTCTTCTTCTTCTTCTTTCCTTCTTTTCTACTTTCCTTCTTTTCTTCTTCTTTTCTTTTTCTTCTTCTTTTCTTCTCTTCTTCTTCTCTTCTTTTATCCTTCTACTTTGCTTCTTCTTTTCTTTTTACTTCTTTTCGTCTTTTCCACTTCTCTTCTTTTCTTCTCTTTTTCCTTCTTCTTCTTCTTCTGCTTCTCCTTCTTCTCCTTTTATTTTTCTACTTTTCTTCTTCTTTTCTACTTTCCTTTTTTCTTCTTTTCTTTTTCTCTTCTTTTCTTTTTCTTTTCTTCTTCTTTTCTTCTTCTTTTCTTTTTTCTTCTTCTTTTCTTCTCTTCTTCTCTTCCTTTATCCTTCTACTTTCCTTCTTCTATTCTTTTTACTTATTCTTTTCTTCTTCCTTCTTCTTCTTCTTCTTCTTCTTCTTCTTCTTCTTCTTCTTCTTCTTCTTCTTCTTCTATCCTTAGCATTTTTGCTCGTTTTCTTTGTCTGCTTTCCTTTTTGTAAGTATTGCATTTATTTTCCTCTTCGCATTTCACGTTTAACTCCATGTCTTCATTTATTAAACTAACCCGATATTATAACCATTACTATTTCATTTTTTTCTGTTTCTTTGTTACTTCCTTGCGGCGATTGTCTAAAAAGAATTGGCTTTACCTAACTTATTTCTTCTCTACTGAAAATCCAATAGACTAAAACTGTTAAAAACTGTAGCTATTTTAAGAACTCCCACTTCAAAATTAACGCTTATGTAGAAAAAAATAACTATCTTTTATTCAGCACGAGTAGATGTCTGTGTGTCGCAAAATGTTCATATATATAATCATGATTATGGTTTTTGTTTTCGCTTTGATCCCCCTTTATTCTTCTTTAGGTGTTTTTACTCTTCAGTATACACCTTCCCTTGTGCAGCTTCTCGGCTTCTCTCTTTGATTTGTTATAATTCGTTTGTTTCCGTTTTAATTCGTTTATTTAAGCCTTTCCTCTTCTTCTTCTTCTTGAAATTTATCTTGACAACTACTGTCGATCTCGTGACTCGAACCAATCACCCCAAACTTCCGCAGCTGACTCATCAATCTCCTATTTCGACCTAGAACCTCAATGCCAACACACTATAACATCAGACCGAACCAAAAGTCTCCGGGCAACGGAAATGAGACGAGAGAGAGAAAGGTTATGTACAGTTCTTAACGGTAACATCTTCTCACTGTCCAGGGGATCTATACCGCGGACATCTAGGCCATTTGACCTTTTGAAGGCCGACAGACGACACATACTGAGATGAATCTACGATGCTACGAATTGTGTCTAATGTTCATTAAAATCAAACGAGCAAGAGCCGAAGGGAATGTCACAGGATGTCTTACGATGTCTTCGAGAATGGAGTCTTAAGAAATAACAGATCCTTTCGAAAAAAAAAAAGCTAGAAGAAATAATATTGTGACTATATAGTTTCTTTAGTGCCCACATTAATACGTGCAGCTACAAGTAAATGGAGATATTTCAGAACGTTATATCTTAACAGAGAGGATGCTGGATTATAAGGTAGAATATTTGAGATTTTCAAATATAGTCCAAGCATTACTGAATGTTTTAAATAATATTTTCATTAACCCCTTCCCCGCCAATTATTTTGAGAAAGACGTTTCATTTTCAGACGAATATTTTTATTTGCTTTTAGCATCGTAACTAGGAAAATGGGGTACCTTGAAGTACCCGAGAGGCGGCTAATACCTTAGACGGTAGATGGACTCGTTTCAAGCTCAGAGCGACATAACAAGTATCAAGTTCGGCTTATAAACACCTCTGTAGCTGTTTTTTAACGTTATATTTAGGATGTGTTTATTTTTCCTTGTCGGAAAACACTTTCGGTAAAAATGTACATATATATATTATTTAAGTAATTCATCGAGTCTGAAAGAAACCTCAACAGAATGTAGAAAGCACTGGACGGCCGTTTCGTACTATATTTGGGACTCATCAGCAGTGCGCATCCACTACCGAGAATTGAAACCCTGACAGTTAGGATGTCAAGCAAACATCATACCAACGGTTTTACCGGGCCTCGGTGACGATATATATTTCTATATCGGGGAAGATTAAGGCAAAAAACAAAACACTGATTAAAGGAAAATACTTTATATCTTTAATCTTGGTGTTATAGTGGAACACACCTATTCTATAGTTAATAGACTCTCCCACCTATAATAAGTAGGAGTAGTAAGAGTAACAGGTCAGGGCTCAGTGGGTCGGTCAATCAGTCGATGCCGGACGACTGTTACTCGGATACTATCAGCGACGACAACTATATTTACTCTGCGTCATACCTATTATATGAAGTTCCTAACGTTTTGGACGTCGAACCTATTTTAGGACCGACTTAGTACAAATACAAGCCTCCACTGTGAAACCACTCCATAACACTTGGTCAATGAAAGAAAGTAACATTGTCTCATTCTATGCTGATTACAACTAATACGCTACTCTCTTTTCCTTTTATATGCCATGTCCTTTCAGAATGTAGGCGATCAGGGCTCTCCATTTCTTCCTATCCATTGTAGCTTTCAATAAGTTTCGTCCCTCTGCCACCTCCCACAAACCACGTTCTGTCATCCACTTGCTTAAGCCCGCCAGGTGTGTTATGCATTACTTTCCCTTGTCTCTCTTTCCCTCTATTCGACCTGTGAGTATCATATTTTCCAGGCCCTTCTTTATCATTACGTGTCCCAGAAACGTTATCTGCCTCTTCCTGATGTCAAGTATAAGCCTCCTCTTTGTTTGCATCCTCTCGAAGACGTCATAGTTGCTCACATGCTTCGTCCATGATATCCTTAGCAGCCTTCTGGGGAACCACATCTCCGTCGCCTCGAGTCTCTTCTTCATCTTTGAGAAGACCGTCCAAGATTCGCTACCGTAATGGAGGACAGATGTCACGTAACAGCTCAGTACTTTTTTTCCTTTGTTACCAAAGAAATCCTTCTGTCTCGCAATACTCTGCCCAGTTTTTGGAATACGTCCTTGGCCCTCCCAATACGTCAACGGATCTCAGTGTCGCATTTACCGTCCTCTGCCAAAACAATTCCCGGGTATTTAAACTTCCGCACCTGCTTGATTTTAGTGTCACAGACGCTACTAATAAACCAATTAGACGAGACATTTTTTAAGTAAAGCTATTGTTCATTTCACGGACTGTTAATAGTATCGTAACAATAAAATAAAAGATGACTTTAAAAGAGAAACATTTACATGAATTTATAATCATCTTGTATGGACATTATCAAGCATTATGGAAAGAAATTTGTGTAATGTCATAATTATGATAATAATTAATGCTTGCAATAATAAGAGTTGTACTCTTGGTTTCTGCAATGATCGATAATATCGATTAACGATACTACTTCGACAATACTTAATAATGCCTGTGGAACTCCCTTCCCTATTCCAGTTTCCCTGAGAGCTATAA